AAATACGCATTTACATCATTTAAACAAATCTTTGAATGGCTAATGAAAATTTTATTTCACAAACCTTGCAAACTTAGTCGAATCCAGCTGTGAGATCTTGTCAAGTGTGCATTTGTATCCTGCATGATCGCGTGTTCGCGTCCTCACTGAAGACGCGCAATGGTAAACTCGTGATTTCAAATTATGCTGCGCTTTATGCATTTGCCCACTGTCATATTCATATAATTTTCACAGTGTGCTGTATGTAAAATGAGTGTTACCTTGGCTTTGTTTGAAAAAATATGATTCCCAATGCACACAAACTTCCCAGAATACTGAGTGCCCTGTTGGTTACAGTGTTTACTTCCTTTTTAATTATATTTTTTTGCTCATCATTGGTAATAACATATTGCTGAAATCGATCCAGTAGTATTATCTCTAATACCTTAGACATCACGCTGGCTAAGGCAATAGGCCTATAGTTTTCTGTGCTAGATATTTTCCCTGTTTTGTCTTTAATTACAGGTACCAGCAAAACAGAAAGCATAGAACTGGGCAATGTGCCATGAATCAACATTCCAGTAAAACACAAGGCCAATAAAACAACAAGTCTGTGACTAGCAAATTTCAAATGCTCTGCTGTGATCTGATCTAGGCCACAAGATTTATTCAGAACTAATTGTCCTATAGCAGAAGCTACTTCCTCAGCCTTGATAACCTCCTTATTAAAAGACACATTCCCAATAATGAAATCGTCACTTTTAACACAATTGAATAGGTCACTATAATGCTTTCTCCAAAGATCTGCAATATTTTCAGATCCAGTAACCCCTTCAACACTAGAAGGCAGAGGAATTTTACTAGCATTCATGACTCGAACTTCTTTCCAGAAATCTTGTATATCATTTTGTAATAATTTCTTAGCCAAAGAATTAGCTCTGAGAGTATGTTCGCTCCTTTTTATGAAACGAACAGCATATTTAAACTGTGTGACAGCTTGTTTCTTTACATCACAAGTATATCCATTCCTTGGTTTTCCAGCAGCAACCCAGTTTTTAAAGGCTTCCCTTGCTTGCTGATGGAGTTTACTCACATGCTCATTCCATCCTGGTCTAATACTATATCGTTTAGATCTTTTGTTACAAAATGATTTGCTTGCATCGTTTAGTACCATCACAATTTCATCATACATGTTACACAAATCATCATTATGGTTTGAGTTGTCACAATTAATATTATCACACAAAAATACATCATATGGAATTTGAATATTCCCCAGAGACTTGTCAGTCAAGTTATAATAATGCTGCATATCATAATCTGTGATCTTAGCCCACTCAACTCTCCCATCATGGGTATAATTACCCTTTTTGGTTATCTCAGGTAATTTTTCTATATTTAGCATCACAGAAATAGGCATGTGATCTGTTGCAGCTGTTCCATACAAGATTTCAACATTCACTATACTTTCATGAGCATCAACAGTGCATATGCAGTGATCCAGCCATGAAGTTGTATTCCAGGCCTCACTGACATATGTGTAGCTGTCAGTTGGCAACAGATCCAAACTTGACAGAATTAAACTATTATCCTGACAAAACCTAACCTTATGTTCCCTCTAACATAAATGTTCCTGTTTGTCCAGTAAATACAAACTCCTGGGTGTTAACAGCTGGATGTAGCACAGATCAGAGCCAGGAGAAGAAACCTCTGTCTGCTGACCCTGAGCATTCACATGGCATGCACAGAGGTCAGGGCTTATAAACCATCTTTATTGACCACAGAAAGTCATGAAATCAAAGCCCTGGTGATAGATCTCACCCAAACTTGCTGAAAATGTATTAACTCTCAGGCCAGCCAAGACATAGATGAGATTGTTTTTCAGCAGAACAGATTTGGAGAAATGAAGCATTATGTCACTTGCTCAGCAATGGATGCTCTGCAGTGAATGGGTGCCGTCAGAATGAGAGTCCAAACAGCTGATAAAAACATCACAATAATCCACAAGTAATCCACACCACTCCAGTCCATCAGTTAATGACTTGTGAAGAGAAAAGCTGCATGTTTGTAAGAAACAAATCCATGGAAACATTTTAACTTAAAACTCTGTAGCTATCTGTTAAGAGGTTTTTAACCTAAAATTGTCACTTGGTAAAATACGAGTCCTCTATCTGTAATATTGCATAGTATGTCTGACTCAAAATATGAAATATGCACAGTTCAAGCACCATTTTTGGAAGAACTATTCAAGGTTAGATGCAGCTATGAAGATGTAGACATTTCAAGTCTTCAGGGGTTCATCTTTGAAATAATGTGATAGAAAGGCCTTTTTTTGTATTTAATAAAAAGTAAAAATATTTTATTTTCAAGCCCCACACATGAAATGATTGGAAGATTTTGTAGACATGAATTAAGAATTTCATTCCATGATTTAATTAATTCCCTAGTTTTAGTTAAACCATGGGTTTTAGTTAAACTTATAATTGAGATTAAAACAATGGAACAAATTACTAAAATATTGCCACAATTTACCTAAAATGAGGGGACAAACCTGGCCACGATTGTTGACAAAGTCATGGAAACAAATTTGTGGCCATGATATCTATTTTCCTTCTTCAGCATGTCATATGCCTGGGGCTTCATAAAAAATGCACACATTTTTGTAATAGAATGTTAAAATGGAAGTGTAGAATTGTATGTTAAAACTTTTTGGAAGTGTTCTGCGGCCCCTAGAGGATCCTGGCTTCCTGACTGATACAAGATTTTGATACCGGAATTTGAAATCTTCACCTTTTCACCCTTGAGATTTTATAGCTCTCCTTTTAATTTCATATTTTGCAGTGATTTCACATCATTCTCCCAAGGAAAAAAATCTACAGACATCTCCAGACAAAACCAGACAACCAGTAAATGTTTACTGTACAGATGAGCCTCTCAACCTGTCCAATAAACCCACAAGACCTGCAAACACCACACAAACCTCTGAGGCCAATGGAAAGATTGCAGGTGCTCATGCATGTTGCTTCAGACACTGTAAACTGGCATTAATATGAAAAATGATATCAGACATTGTTCAAATTTACTGGATGTCAAAAATCATAAAGAAACATGCCTGTTACTATTCAATCTTTTTGATAGACTGCAGACTCTTATGGGACTATGTGTACCAGCTGCTGTCAGACAGCAGGTATGAGGCCTTCATACGCTGGGAGGATCCGGACGCCATGATCTTCAGAGTGGTGGATCCCAACGGACTGGCCCGACTCTGGGGCAACCACAAAGTACTGCAGCAGACAAGACCAGCTCACTTCTTCATTGCTTTAAGTGTGATCGATAATAATTGGGTCTGTTTGTTTCTTATTGCAGAACAGGGCCAATATGACCTATGAGAAAATGTCAAGAGCATTACGTCATTACTACAAGCTCAACATTATCAAGAAAGAGACAGGCCAGAGGCTGCTCTTCCGGTGAGTGGAGGCACTCGAAAAGCATTTAAAGGTGGGGTAAGCGATTTCTGGTAGCCAATGTTGACATTTGAAATCACCAAAACAAACACGCCCCTACCCCAAAAGGGTCTCGCCCATATTTTGATAGCTCCGCCCCACACATACATATGCAACCCAGGCAACGATTAGTTCTGTGAAACAAAGCAAAACCAATGTTACACCGTGTCTACACCGGACGCGAGTGGCGCGGCGCGACAAAATACTATAGAACTCATTATAATCAGTGATGTTGTCTACACTGGATGCGGCGCGGCACGACACGACAAATCCCCAACAGAAAACTGCTGCTGCGTTCTATTCATGACGAATTGATTTTCAACGGTCACTTTGTCGTGTCCAGTGTACTAGACAGACTTTAGCTGTTGCGGTGTAGACAAAGTGTTACTCACCTATCGAGAAGAAACAAAGCAGCCTCGGCGTCCGATCGCAGGCCTTCTGCTCCTTGAGTTCTCTCCAGCGCTGGAAAGCTGATCCGATATTTACACGGGTCCTACTTCTTGCCTTATTGCCTAAAGCCTTCTTTTGTTCTGCAGACGTTTTCCTCTTTAGTTTTTTTATCCGCCATCTCAATCTTTCTGTTGCTCGGCTCGGCTAATGTCCGTCCTGTGCACTGAACGCTCTCTCCTCTGCATCATGAGTAGACACGCCCCTTACTGCTGATTGGCTACAAGTTTGTTTTGGTACTCGACCCGACTCAGTTTTCTAAAGCATTTTTGAAAAATCGCTTACCCCACCTTTAATGCATATTTGTATTTTTTGTACTCAAATGTAGTAGTCAGGTGGTTTGGTTTTTCTTTCATTAGTTGGTGGTGATGGCGATATAATTCCATTTGATTATGATAAATGAGATGTACCCTTTGATAAAAAATGAACTTAATTACCGGTATAATGAAAGTGCATTTTAGTGTATTTTAAGTTTTAAAAGAATAATTTAAAAAACTGTTCTTGCAATAAATATTTTACGTAAAATTCTCATTCCAGGGGCTAAATATCATGTTATAGAGGTCGCTTCAACCCACGGACATGAAAAACTACCCGCGGCAACAATGTTAAAGTAACCCAATTCCGTGGGAAAACCGTGAACCTGGCAACACTGGAGTACACTGTCCTGGGCTGCGTTTCCCAAAAGCATCAAAAGTTGATCGTAAAAACGATCGTACAAATCATCTTAGACTTGCGGACCGTATCCCAAAATGGTGACCGTGATTTCACCAAGTACAACATGTTCCAAAAGAAGTAATGTAGGAAATATGCTTCAAAGACTGGGAAATTGAACCCAGAAATAACGTCTCTTCAGATATTATATACTATAATATATATTATTATATATAGTAGATTCATATTATAGTTATAGCTATTATATTATATTATATTATATTATATTCGAGTTGTCTGGAACGCAGCATTAGATGAACATTTCAATAAACGAGCGTGTACTACAATTACGAGCCATTCTATAAGGTGACATATATTGTCAAACACGTTACTTTAAAGTACATTTTAAATCATTGTTTAAAATTGTTTTTTTTACATTTTGCTTTAAACAACATCGTAAAGCACATGTAAAATACTTGATTATAATTTTAACTGTAGTGTTTTCAATATTATTTTTTAAATGAATATATTGCAAATATACTAAAATGCTATTTCATCAGTAGTCCTTGTATACAAAAATCACATAAAAAAAAAATAAATGTACATATACACACGCACACACATTATAACATCACATTAAATAGTGCTTCTTCATTCATGGCCATAGGTGATCAAGTCTGAAACAAAATTCACTAACACTTTTGAAAACAGACATTCTTTTTCATTAACAAGGAGTCACACAAGAGGGAGCTAAAGCTGTTTATTCTGTTAAACTGGGCATTGTGGTCTCAAAATGAAAAATATTCTGGCTTGACCCATATATTGTTCAATCATACTTGCTCTTATGCTTTCAAACACTCCCTCTGTGCTGCAGGTTTCTGAAGACCCCTGAGGAAATCATCCAAGGCAGGTCAGACCGCACAGAACCGTCAGAGTCTCCTGACAGTCCTGCATCTCCTGACTACAGAGAAGACGCTCTGGAAGTATCTCCTGTATCGACTCCTACTACACTGAGCCCCAGCTCTGATCACAACTTCAGCATATCACCAATCCCATAACATTCACTCCCTCATTCTGATCCAGGATCAGCCTTAGTTATTAATTTTCCTGACTTTTTAGAATGGGACACCCCGAGCTGATCTTCTGTCAGAGTGAACATCCAATGCAGCACCAGAGATGGCTGATATCCCGAAGAGGTTCCACAGGACATATTTTAGGAGATGCTCGGACCACATGGTTTTGACTCAGGGTAGTAGTGTGCCGTGTTTGCTGTTAGTGTGTGTTAAAAGCTAAGCGACACTAATTTCTCAACACAACAATTCTGATTGATTCTCATAGTTGATTATTAGAGTTGATATGAAATTTTCTCTCAGGTTGTAAAAATGTGCAATGTTATTTTTTTTTACAGATTTGTGAACTGCACTGCATTACTGTATTGCATGGTTGATTTATACCATTAATCAAATATCATTAATAATCTACAGAACGAAATCTGTGAATTCATTAATCAACTATTAACTGTATAAAGGGAGTTGACAAATAAGATGCTTATTAACTTTTTTTTTTTTTGTGTGTGTTTTTTTTTTTTTTAGGTTGAAAAGTATATATTTTATATTTGATTGCACTTTATTTAATCATTTCTTTCAATACTTTTTGCAGTTTTCTTACAGTAAATATTCCTGTATGACAAATAATTGTTTATTAAGTACAAATATTTCATTTTATCTAATAAAATCTACATGAATAATAATGAGAAAATAATTAGAAAAATGTTATGAATGGGTCAATGAAATGAAATACCATGGACATAGGACCCACTTTGAGCCGACCTCCTCTACAACTTTTTTTTTTTTAAGAACCAGGGTTCCCACTTTCTTGTAAAACCTATATATAAGTTTATAAAAGTCCGATTCCTAGACCTAGAAAAGTCATTTAAATTAAGAAGAAAAAGAAGAAAGAAAAAAAAAACTATAGTCTCTCTCTACACTCTAAAAAATGCTGGGATAAAAAGGGACAAACCCAGCTATTGGGTTGTTTTCAATAGCTGGGTTTGTCCCTTTTTAACCCAGCATTTTTTAGAGTGTATAGGCTTTTTTTAAATATATATCAACATGCCAAGCTGTAAAATATTTTATTGGCCTTAATCCTCATCCAGTAAATCATGATCAACTGGAACAGTCATGGGACCTTTGAATATTGCTGTGACCAATGGGGCCTTTGAGTCAAAACTGTTGAGAATCAATCCATTGCAATCCATTCAGCTGGGGGAAGTGACACATCACTAGCTTATTACTTACGGTAAATCAACCCTAACTATGTGAATGGTAGGTACATTTAAAATTACTTTATCTACATAAGTTTTAGAGGAAGTTGATAACTTTTAGTTTTAGGATTCATAGCTCTTCTAGGTTTAGTTCTTTCTGTTGGTGTGTGTGCTTGAAATCTATGATCGGTTTACCTAATCTCTATGGTAATCTAGTCATGACTGTGCTCGTTTTAAGACTAAATGTCAAGCATATGACTGCTCTAAAGACAACAATAATACATTTACCTCTGATGGCCTCAGAAAGTGCGTAGACACAAATATAATAGGCCTACTTTAGACATCACGAGGTGAGGAATTGATTTGAGAATTGGATCTCCTCAGTGGCTTCACATCATTTACAGTGTCCCAGAGTGGAAGGAGGGACGTCTGTGGTTTGGTAAAAATCTTTCTGATTTAACAACACCATGACCGTCTGTTTTAATACGCTGTGCTGATGCGTCACATCCAAAGTTGGTTCGAGCGTTGAAGAACTGAGATTATTCTAGTCATGTCATCCCCGTTATGCGTTCTGTCTCAAAATGAGAACCTCTCCGTGTCTTTCTGCGGTTCTGGCTTTCTAGCTACATACCAGCTCGGTGCTGCGCAGAGTCTTTTGGATAACGCGGCCTGGATCCTGCAAGGAGCTCCGAGGGGTCTACGGCGCGTCTGCCGGTTCCCTCGTCGCTGCAGCGGTCGTCTGTGGCTCCAATCTAGGTAATCTGAGATCTTTCTATTCATAACGTTCATTGATTGACTAAGACTTAGTGTTTTACTCACTGTAAAGGTTGTAGGTTCAAATCCCACCTCAACAGGACCAGACTGGTACTGGGTTTACAGTTTTTTTCCAACTGCTTACACACCAAATCTTTACTTGTCACACAATTTCTGAAAACTGACACTCAAAAACACCGGAACCACACACAAAACCATACACTAATTCTCAGCCTTTGACTCAAAGTTTTGTAAGCAGTTGAAAAAAAAAACGGTAATGTGCTGTAAGTCACTAAAATAATAATGACTTATAATTGAGTCAGTAGCAGGGGCGGACTTACCCATTAGGCAAAGGTAGGCGACCACCTTGGGCCCCCAAAAGCCATCCTTTTTTTTGTGTATCCTGCTTGAAGGAGATGAAAATATTATGCATCTGAAGTTGTAATTAAATATTGAGAAACAGTGTGTATTATATGTTGTAGTCATTAAATCCACCCTTTCTTCTCACAGGACGTGTTCGAGACCAGCTTTTGGAGTTTGCGCGATTTACTAAACAGCATCCGCTCGGTCTTCTCAGTCCCACGGTGGATATTTTCCGGTGGCTGGAGGTCACACTGCAGCGCTGTCTGCCTGATAACGCACACACTCTGGCCAGCGGCCGTCTGCACATCTCCATGACTCGCATCTCTGATGGAAAAAATGTAATCGTGTCAGAATATAATTCCAGTGATGAGTTTATTAAAGTAAGCATTATGATGTTCATCCAGAGTAACATTTTATAATACACATACAGTAGTAAAGCACTAATAAATCCTTTGCAATCTGTTATAGTTCATTCATAGTTTATAAACTGTAGTCTCTGCATTGTTAATACATATGTACAAACAGTTATATTATTGTTTAATTAGCCCATATGCAAAGAGTCAGATGTTTTATTATCCCTTGTTAACAACTTGTTAACCATACCAAACTGATGTACAGTATTTAAAAAACAGTAGAAAAGGAGCTGTTAATGATTCATTAGAAGTAAATAGTGCTCACTTTAGATTAGCTCATGGAACATAGTAAAATAAACGACCTTTATTAACCCCTTAACTGTCACCGTCCCACCTTTCTCTATCAAATCTTTTAGTAATCATATAAGACATATCATATATCATTTGAAAGCTTAGAAGCCCAAGATTCATCCTGTGAAAACCATTTCGAAATCAGACATTGCGTTACCATGGAAATGGTACTTTAAAACCTTTTGTGGGCAGTGTCAAGTGTCATATTACAAAATGAATTACGGTATTTTAAAAACTGCTGTTCTTTTGAACATGCTATTCATCTGAGAATTTCTCCAAAATGTATAAATGTACAAAAAATCTTATTGTATAATAATATTATTATTGATTATAATAAATGTTTGTTGAGCAGCAAATCAGGATATTAGATTGATTTCTGAAGGATCATGTGACACTGAAGACTAGAGTAATGATGCTGAAAATTTAGCTTCGACTCCGGAATAAATTACATTTTACAATATATATTCAAATAGAAAACGGTTACTTTAAATTGTAATGATATTTCACTATATTACTGTATTCTTGATCAAAGAAATGCAGTCTTGTTGAGCACAGGAGACAAAAACATCAAAACTTCTTGCCCACCCCAAACTTTTGAAGGGTACGATACCTATGAAGACTAGTGGCATCACCTTTCTCTATCAAATCTTTTAGTAATCATATAAGACATATCATATATCATTTGAAAGCTTAGAAGCCCAAGATTCATCCTGTGAAAACCATTTCGAAATCAGACATTGCGTTACCATGGAAATGGTACTTTAAAACCTTTTGTGGGCAGTGTCAAGTGTCATATTACAAAATGAATTACGGTATTTTAGAATCAAAACTTTTTATAATCTTGACAAAAAACATATCATTGGAAAGGTCTGAGTCTCAGGATTCCATATTTGGTGGATAAAGTAATATTGACAGAAAAATGCATTGAAAAAAATTCAATGGAGTTTGGATGGCACCTGGTGGCTGTTTGTGGTATAACGCCCTAAATAAAATCTCACAGGAACCTAAATTTTTTCACATCAACTTCAAATTTGGAACATAACTTATTTAGACATAAGGCTATAATTTTATACCAATTTTAGAGTAAAACCTGCTTCAAAACCTTTCACTGGGCAACTCCCCCTAGTGGGCAGTGTCATATTACAAAATGAATTACGGTCTTTTAGAATCAAAACTTTTTATAATCTTGACAAAAAACATATCATTGGAAAGGTCTGAGTCTCAGGATTCCATATTTGGTGGATATAAGTAATATTGACAGAGAAATCTAGCCATTTGTGTTCAATGGAGTTTGGATGGCACCCGGTGGCTGTTTGTGGTATAACGCCCTAAATAAAATCTCACATTAAAAACTGCTGTTCTTTTGAACATGCTATTCATCTGAGAATTTCTCCAAAATGTATAAATGTACAAAAAATCTTATTGTATAATAATATTATTATTGATTATAATAAATGTTTGTTGAGCAGCAAATCAGGATATTAGATTGATTTCTGAAGGATCATGTGACACTGAAGACTAGAGTAATGATGCTGAAAATTTAGCTTCGACTCCGGAATAAATTACATTTTACAATATATATTCAAATAGAAAACGGTTACTTTAAATTGTAATGATATTTCACTATATTACTGTATTCTTGATCAAAGAAATGCAGTCTTGTTGAGCACAGGAGACAAAAACATCAAAACTTCTTGCCCACCCCAAACTTTTGAAGGGTACGATACCTATGAAGACTAGTGGCATCACATTGTTTAGAAAAATATTAATTATTTTAAGACACCTTTCTGAATGTAAATGTAAGTTGGACAGGCAGTTTTTGTCTGTTGCTATCTTGTGTATTGTAGCCCATTTTGAACGCTGTATTGACCAGTCAGCATTTAGAAGTAAGGTTTTAGTTCTGTCCACTTGCTTTAACCGGCACTGTATCTCACACCTCGACAGATGCACTGCCGCTGTATCCTCCACGGAGAAAGGAGTCTGATGCGTCTGATGATTCGGTGAGCTCAGATCACTGGATGCTGACACAGACTGATCATGCAGAGGAAGAAGAATCCCATATTAATATAGTGCATTTTCTTTAGAGTAAATTTAAACTACTATAACTTTTTGATACTTAAATTTTTTTGGAAAAATTCCACTTTTGCGATAATTTGCTGATTTTCCTCTTTAAAAAGAGACCAACCTTATGTCTGTATTCCAAAGTGTTCATAAATTACAACAATTTCAAAAATGTTGGGGTCAGTAAGATTTTCATTCATTCTTTTGTTGGTTGGTTGGAAAGAAATTAAGTAGTTTTGTTACGTATGGATGCATAAAATTAACCAAAAGTGACATTAAAAAAAAAAAAAAATTTTTTACATTGTTACAGAAGATATCTATTTAAAAACTGCTGTTCTTTTGAACATGCTATTCATCTGAGAATTTCTCCAAAATGTATAAATGTACAAAAAATCTTATTGTATAATAATATTATTATTGATTATAATAAATGTTTGTTGAGCAGCAAATCAGGATATTAGATTGATTTCTGAAGGATCATGTGACACTGAAGACTGGAGTAATGATGCTGAA